TAAATGTAAATAAATTAATAAATAAGTTAATTAATCAATTAATTAATTGATTAATAGGCGATTAAATTAATTAAATACGTAATTAAATAATCAATAAATAAAAACATTAATAAATAAATAAATAAATAAATAAATAAATAAATTAATAAATAAATAAATTAATAAATAAATAAATTAATAAATAAATAAATTAATAAATAAATAAATTAATAAATAAATTAATAAATAAATTAATAAATAAATTAATAAATAAATTGATAAATAAGTAAATTAAATTAAATTAAATTAATAAAATAATTTAATATATTGAATGAATAAAACGAATAAAATAGCAAACCAAACAATTAAATAAATAAAAAAAACAATAAAACGAATAGCACAATCAATAAAATAATAAAACACACTAATAAAACAAAAACTAAAACAGATAAAATGAAATAAAAAACAAAACAAAACAAAACAAAACAAAACAAAACAAAACAAAATAAAACAAAATAAAACAAAATAAAACAAAAGAAAACAAAATAAAATAAGATAAAAATAAAAGTAAAATAAAATAAAATAGAATAAAAATAAAATAAAATAAAAATAAAATAAAATAAAAAGATAAGTATTTACTCATCCGATGAAACAAAAACAGCTGAAGGCCGATGAAGAAATTTTTTAATTAAAATTTTAATTTTTTCTTTTTGTATTTCTTCTTCTTCTTTTGCTTCCTGCTTTCTGCTGCAGCAAAATAAATAAATAAATAAATAAATAAATAAATAAATAAATAAATAAATAAACTAATAAATAAATAAATTAATTAATAAATAAATAAAATTTATTTATATATCTATCTTGTTGAGAGGAGAAGACAAAGAATCAGCGATTTTGTTTTATGAGTGCATAAACAGAAAGAAAGAAAAACAAAAAAAGAAAAAAAATAAATAAATAAAATAGATTAAATATTAAAATAACAAAAATAAAACAAAACAAACAAAAAATATACAGTATAAAAAAAAATTATATTAAATTAAATATAATTAAAATAAAATAAAATAATATTAAATTAAATTAAAATAAAATAAAATAAAAAAGAAAAAAAAAGAAAAACTCACAAGACGAAATCGGCGATAGAACTAAGGGGGGCCTTCAGCAGAGGATAAGCAGAGAGAAAGGAAGAGAGGTAAACCCTCGCTTGTATAAACCCTAATTAATTATATTTATTATAAAACAATAAAAAATATAAACCCTAAACCCTAAACCCTAAACCCTGATTTATGCATTGAATTTACACATTCTAAAACCCTAAAACCAGCACTCAAAACCACACAAAAAAACATACTCTAAACCCTAAACCCTAAACCCTAAACCCTAAACCCTAAACCCTAAACCCTAAACCCTAAACCCTAAACCAGATCGGAAGAGCACACGTCTGAACTCCAGTCACCGATGTATCTCGTATGCCGTCTTCTGCTTGAAAAAAGATTGTTTGTTTACCTCCGTCAAGGAAGTGCTGCTGCAAGGCAACCAAAACGCAGACAGCTGCAGCAGCAGCAACCAAACCAAATAAATGTTGCTGCTGATCTTCTTCTTGCTGCAGCAGAAAAAAAATAAAAATAATAATTAATATTTTTGTTTAGGGAGAAGAAAAAAATAAAAATATTAAAAAAAAAAAAAGAAATATCCTACTGCTGCTGCTGTTGCCTCTCCTCCTTTACATTCCACTTCTTCATCTGAAGAAATTAAAAATAAAATAAAGATAAAATAAAGATAAAATAAAATAAAATAAATAAATAAAAAACAATAAAATAAAATAAGATAAAATAAATAAAAAACAAAATAGAATAAAATAAAATAAAGATAAAATGAAATAAAATAAAAAATATGAATTTCGTTAATACCTGGAAATGTGCTGATGTCAAATATTGCTGCTGCTGCTGCAACAACGCGACGTGCAATATCTGCTGCTGTTGCTGCTGCTGCTGCAGCAGCAGCAGCAGCAGCAGCAGCAGCAGCAGCAGCAGCAGGAGCTGCGTCAGCAGCTTCAGACTGTGTATTTGTCATTTGGCATTGCTGCACCAATTGCTGCTGCTGTTGCTGCTGCTGCTGTTTCTGCTTTTGCTGCTGCATTTCTTGTTGCTGCTGCTCCTGCTGCTCCTGCTGCTCCTGCTGCTCCTGCTGCTCCTGCTGCTCCTGCTGCAGTTGTTGTTGTTGCTGCTGCTGCTGCTGCTGCAGCATGTGAGTGCATGCGGCTGCCTGCTGCATTTTCTTTTTCAGGTTTATAATTAGTTTTTCTGCAATTTGTTTAATTTTTTCAATAATTTTATTTTCTTTTATTTCAGATGAAGAGCAGCAGAAGACAACGCTGTCTATTGCTGCTGTCTGCTGCTTCTCCTTGCTGTCCTTTGCTGCTGCTGCTGCTGCTGCTGCTGCTGCTGCTGCAGCAAAGCAATAGGTAGTGCTATAACAAACAGAAAGCAGGAGAAGGAAAAGAAAAAGAAAAAGAAGAAACAGAAACAAAAAAGCAAACAGACAAACAGACAAACACACACACTGATAGAAGAAGAGAAAGAAAAAGAGAGAAAGAGAGAAACAGAAAGAAAGAAAGAAATGAATAAATAAATAAAGATATAAAGAAAGAAAGAAGGAAAGAAAGAAGGAAAGAAAGAAAAAGAGAGAGAGAGACAAACAGACGGAGAGAGAGACAAACAAAGAGACAGATAAAGACAGAGACAGAGACAGCAACAGAACAAAAATATTATTTTTGTTGTTGTTTGTGTTTACCTGTTGTTTTAATTTCTTCTTCTTCTTCTTCTTCTTTATCTCTAATCTCCTCATTTCTTTCTCTTTTTTTATTTTGCTGTTTACTGCTGCTGCTGCTGCTGCTGCTGCTGCTGCTGCTGCTGCTGCTGCTGCTGCTGCTGCTGCTGCTGC